ATTTTTCTGACATTTACAACAATTCAAAGTGATAAACATGACTTGAAAAAACACGGTACTTTTCACAGTGATGCATATGAGCATACTGTCAGAGTAGTTATAAAGGATGACCAGGTAATCCACACAGCATTTTACCCCCTCTCCCCTGATCCACGTGTTTATGGGCTCAGGTTAATAAAACACGAGACACGTGAGATCTCAACAACAGCGTGGCTCAAAAAGACTTGACTTTTTTTAAGTGTATAAAATAAGCTGAAATTTCTGCTCGTCTATTTCCTAGTCGATGCTCTGACCTTGCTCCGTCGCTGAGCTCGCCGTGTGTGTTATAATTCACTGTCATAATCTTCACTCTGTTTTTGAAGATGATGTCGCCCTTCTGGAGATATTCCAGGGTCCTCCTAATCGGAAACCTTCCTTTCATAGGCATCTTAACCTTTTTTATATTTACAAATTACCATTTAAAAGCAAACTGCGCGTGCCTGTAGCCAAAAACGCACACTAACAGAGACGCGTTTTGATGACGTAGGAAGGTCGCTAGCCAAGCGACCAAAGAGTGATGGTAATTGTAGTTTTTTGCAAGAACGCCTAAGCTACATTATTATTTTCCCGAATTGCTAAAATATTAACTTTTTAAACCAATCACTCTTTTGGCCAAAACTTATATTTTGCCTTATAACCTTTATACACACTAAAACACAGTCTACACAACAGTTCATTTGTTGTAAGACTAACTACTGGAAGCAGAAGTTACAACAAAAGTCAACACAATAACTTTAAATTATTCACACTCATTGCTTCTGGTATGATGAAACCCGTAAGGGCCAGTTAATGTCAGCTAAGAACAGGAAACTGAGGCTACAGCTTCAAAAACTAGGCAATAGATGGTTAGAAAAAAGACTTGTCTGGTTTTATAAATCTTAATTTCTGCTGTGATATTTGGGTGGTAGCGTTATAATATGGCATAAGCAGCATGAAACCATCCATCCTGCCTTGTATTAGCTGTTCAGGTTAATTCTAGTGTAATGGTGTGGGGGATATTTTTGTCACACTTTGAGCACATTAAAGTACCAACTCAGTGTTTATACACCACAACCTACCTGAGTGTTGTTGATGACCATGTCCATTACTTTATGTCAACAGTGTATCCATCTCCTGAGTGCTGCTTCCAGCAACACACCACGTTGCAACGCTCAGATCATCTCAAACTGGTTTCTTGAACATGAAAATTAGTTCATCTCTATTTTAACTTCATATTTTTTCATCTTTTGTAGAATGACTTTGGAAAGACTTGTCTTGACTTGTCCTTTTTTTTTGAAGCAGTGAGCAATATGAGCTTAGTGGAGTAATTTCGCCTGATTGTGTGTTGATTTGACAACACTGCGTGGTTCTGTGAATGCAGCTTAAATATTTTGTGTATAAAGTTTTGCAATAATCATTGAAGCTATGAAAAAGGTGTCTCTGTGCAGTTGTTAAAAACTAAGAGTAAATGCACACGGGAGAAATATATACAGTTTAAAAGATAATAAAAGATAAAAGATAATCTTCAATTCAGATAAATACTTTATAGCTTTTCTCTTTTTTTGGAAACAGAATTTCTGTTTTTTGTGTCTTTTTGGGGTTTAGTTTGCTGTTGTTCAGTAAACTGTAGAATAAAATATTCAAGCAGACCCATTGAGCAGGTTTCTGCATTATTAATGCTTTTTTCACTCGTTATTTGATGGCTTTATTTTTATGGGGAAACATCTGTATTTAAAAGTGATCAAAGTAATAAGGAGAATGCTATGGTTCCTGCCTGTATTGTTACTAAAGCCTAACTTCTATTCAATGGAACAGAAAAAAAAACTGATATGTTCATACAGACTTCAGCTTTTCCAGTTCTATCATCCATCTTCATCACAAATAACTTCAGTCGTGTTTTATTTCATGAATAACTGTTTATTTTGTTTAAAATGCGTAGCCTCAGAGACTGGAATTCTGATGCGGGACTCAGTCATTAACACATTTCTTTTATATCTTTATCAGCGTGAGGTAGAAAGGTAGGGCTGTGACCAACTCGAGCAAAACATGAATGATTTTCTGATTTTCTCAATCTCAATGTTTGAACACAGACATTTTACATAAGGAAAAAAACAGTACTTTTACACAGTATAAAATCTTAACCATAAGATACTCTGGAAAAACTCTATTATCCTGTAATGTGGGAGCTGCTCATGGTAAATATTTTAAAGCCACAACATTTAAATCCACACTTTCCATACAGCATTTAATAAAATGCGCTTAAGCAACTTTTGCATGCATTGCAATGCTCTAGAAAAATTATAACAATGCTCCTTTTTAGGGCAGACAGCGACAAGATTAAAAAAACCCTGCTTCAAAACAACATGCACTCATTTTAATGAAATTACATGTACGAAGGTCTTTTCTCACCAGTGCCTTTACGAACAGTCCATATGGGTTTTAAACCCAAATATTACATCTGACATGTACTTCACAGAGACATAATCATAGCTGACCTATTTATACACCCATTATCATTCATGGTGCTGTGGATGCCTATTCAGAACCATAATATAAGAAGGTAAGCCAATGCATATCTCCTACTTAGTCTCCAAGACATCAATGCACTCGGGATTGGCTTCCCAGAAAATCTTTTTTTTTTTCTCCATTTTTTTCTTTTAAATCAGGGAAACCTGCCCAAAAGTACTTTAAGTACACTTAGTATGCAACGAGCAAATTTGTTTACAACAAGTTAAAGTTTTTGGAAAACATACAAAACACAAAGTTTTAGTCAGCATGAGTGCAATGAAACACCACAAAAGCTGATTGATGTGCACGAGAATACAAATGCAAAAATAAAAAACAGTAGCATAGCTACACATAAGTCGGATTTTTAAACCCAAACATTTAAGGTAATCTAATTCCTTAAAAGAAATATTTAGCTGATGATAAATACTGTAAAAAATGAAGATAGAGAAGAATAGTTATGACACTGACAGGACAGAAGGAAACAATATGTAATTGATTGTCATAAAAGGGAAAATTGATGAGGTGATTGCACGGATTATATGAGGAACATACTCATAATAACCTAAAAATAATTGTACCACATAGAAACACAAGCACATAAAAAAACCTCTGAGATGTCGTTCAGTAGGGCTGCCACAAACGATTATTTTGATAGTCGACTAGTCACCGATTATTTTTGCGATTAGTCGACTAATCAGATCATGCATTCATTGGACATAAAACATACAGCTTATTGCACCAGCATGCATCTGCTCTTAATATAACTATCATTAGCTTAAGTGTTTAAGGTATGTGCTAGCTAAAAATAAAGACAAGATTAAAATTTATTAAATTTTAATGAAATTTGCAGATTGTTTCAGTGAAGTTTAATAAACTCAGCCGTCTGCTCCTTGCTATCTAAAATATAACAGGACACTGGAGTATATTCTTGAGCATCTCACACTTCTGATAATCAGCTGTCTGCTTGAGGTTTATTCAGCTGTGTAAAAACTGTAACTTTAATCTCAGCCAAACAGATTCATTCAGGAACAAATAAAATACTAAAAAAAAGCCAAACAATAACATTTTTAAGTTATCTAAGTGACTCATATATCATGTTTAACCTGAGTAGCGAAAGACGGCGGTGGGTTTGAAAATGATTTGCCGGGAGTCCGGTGTTCTCACCGGCTCTAGTGAGCCTTGAACCCGTTAGCTATTGACTGGTGGGTAACAGACGTCTCCGAAAACGTCGGAGCGCTTTTGAAAGTATGTGGTGTCTTGATAAACTGAGCAGATATTTGAGGTTTACACAGCTACATTCTCGCCTGAGAATATCTTAAACGTTTATTTTGTGACCCAGAAAGAATAATAAGAGTAATACTAAAACTAACTAGCTGCCGCCATTGTTGAAAACTGAGCAGGGCCACGCTATGAACTCTGGGACGCAGCTTCTTCTTCTTCAGGGTTTAACAGCAGCTGGCATCCTTGTACATGCAGTGCCGCCATCTTCTGTTTCAGTCCGTTATTACACTCTTAAATCCTACTACTTATTCCTGCGTCTTTTGGTAATGGTAAATGGCCTGTATTTGTATAGCGCTTTTCTAGTCCCTAAGGACCCCAAAGCGCTTTACACAACCTGTCATCCACCCATTCACACACACATTCACACACTGGTGTGATTTTGGGATCTTACAAAGCTTCAAACGACGCGTCGACTATTAAATCAGTCGTCGACGATTTTGATAGTCGACGTAATCGTGACTAGTCGACTAATCGTGGCAGCCCTATCGTTCAGTATAAGAAACAACATACGCTCCTCAATTTAAATGGCTAACTTGACTTATGAAACTTTTGTTATTGTAAAAGCAAAACTAAAAGAGAGGTGGTGCACTGAGCTGATTATGTGCTATGAGCTTGATCAATACTATGACATGCTATGAATACTTACTAATGGAGAACATAACTGAGAGTTTGTACCTTTATATACCTGACTGAGTTTCTCTAACTATAATTCAGATTTAACTAATTGAACAACTCCATTTTAATTTCAGTTGTGTCAAAATTAACAAGAAAAGCTCTTTTCCATACATATTGAAAACTCAATTCTTTTTAATGGCCTGTATCAGAAACATGCCAATTTTACTGCGCTGATGTTCAAAAAAACTCCCCAGCTTCAAAGTAATCAGATGTCCTCCACTCTAAAGAGGTTTTTAAAGATCTTTTTCACATGCAGGATTTCTTTTAATGTTACTTTTAGATTCTGGACTTTCTGTAAGTTATGCAAACCTAGACAAATGTAACGCAATTTGAAAGGGTTAGGTCAAGTGCTATAAAGACATTAAAGAGCATAGCTGTAGATGCTGAAGATTCTGTTACTTAGTTCAACAGGACTGACTGCATCAGCTTCAGGAAACATCCTCAGCCATCCAGGCTGTCCAGTGCCATTCCATCTCAATCTACCTGAATGACTTTGCACTATGCATCATTGAAAGCAAGGGCTTGCTGCAGGATTTAGTACTACAGTTCAAAAATACAATCCTTACAAGAGAAAGTGTGTACCTGAAGAGGAGACTCACTAAATACTTCAAACTCTGAGAGTTAGGGTGCTCGGAGTGATGGCGTGTCATTCTGTAGAGTCAGAGTCCTGGCTGTTATACTCAGCCGTCTCCATCTTGAGGATGTAAGGAATTATGCTGTCAATAGAAACATTTCCTATTAAGCCGGTGAAGAAGAGCTCCTCTGTGATGCTTGAGTTCATGAGGCGCAGTGCAGGCAGACGAGTCAGAATACGTGTCAGCCTGAGGAATGGAATAAAGATGTAATTTACACAACACATCACTGCATGCAAACACGGTTTTACCTGAAATGGAATGAAGGCCCTCTGCCAGACATCCACAGAAAAGAAAAGGACACAGGAGTTCAGGTTTGTGCCAATGGACGATGACGTCAGCGATCGACCTTGGCCAAAGTGAACCAATCAAGGCCAATTTTTAGATTATTTCCCCAGTGATGCATTAAATCAATGTGATCATTATTATAAGAGTCATGATACAATGAATCTGCCTTGATATAATATAATGTTGCATTTACATATATAATTGAAAGTGCATGTCTGGACGTCTACACACTTTCAAATTAAGGTGTGTGTGTGTGTGTGTGTGTGTGTGTGTGTGTGTGTGTGTGTGTGTGTGTG